CAACAGAAACAAGCCGTTTTTGGACCGAATTGTCACCTATGAAAAGTGGATCATGTATGATAACAGGAGACGTTCCGGACAGTGGTTGGATGCCGACGAACCACCGAGGCAATTTCCAAAGCCGAATCCTCACGAAAAAGATTATGGTCACAGTGTGGTGGTCATCGGCTGGTGTGATCCACTATAACTTTTTGTCACCAGGCCAAACCATCACAGCAGAGTCCTACTGTGAAGAAATCGACGAAATGTACCGAAAATTGCGTCAGCTGCAGCCAGCACTTGTCAACAGAAAGGGTCCGATTCTTTTGCATGACAACGCCCGCCCACACGTTTCACAAATCACTATCCATAAATTGAACGAATTGGGGTTGAAGTTCTACCTCACCCGCCATATTCTCCAGACCTTTCACCGACTATCACCTTTTCAAACATTTTCAGAACTTCCTTGCTGGAAAATACTTCATCAATCAGGACCAGGCAAAAAAGCCTTCGTGGATTTCGTGGATTCTCGACCACCCAGTTTTTTTGATGGGATTTATCGACTGGTGTCACATTGGCAAAAGTGTGCTGATTCGAACGGTGCTTATTTCGATTAAATCCGATGAGTATTAAAAAAGTTATGATCGTTTAAAGTGAAACACTCAAAACGCTGAGAACTTTCCGGAGCAACCTAATAATTCCTACGCTTTCATGAAATGTTATCACTCACTCGTTTATGCCGGTAGTTGATCACTTCATCACCAATTCGGAATGTTCCGTTAATCGTTTTTTTGCGAAGATACACACAGACGATCACTCAGTGTTCCTTTTAGGACAGGATTACCTCTCGTAATCTGTTCTGAAAGGAACCTGAGTGATTACGAGAAGTAATCCCGTTCTGCATTTTCGCCCAAGACATTCAGGTCTAAAATTATCTCGATAATCTCATACTTCCGTGTAGTACGATGTTTCTCGAATATATTTACTAGGGATGGTCCTCAGATCGAAGTGACCATTCGTAATGCAACATAGCTCACGGGGCCCACAGGAAGACTATCCGAGGAGCTATGGACCTTCTAACAAGCAACAGATTATGGGGTCAGATCCCTGCCAGGTTTTTTTCTTACTTTTCCACGAACATGGCCCAAGTGGTTGTAGCGGCACTGTACTCAGTGTTCACCTAAACTCGCCTGAAAAAGAGTTTCCAGTTATTACTGT